GGACACTGGCCCAGCTGCTGGCTAATAGGTTGCTCAGTGTCCCCCCTGCCCCACCGCTCTGCCATTGACTTCAGTGGGAGCAGGATCGGACCGCTCAAAGCTGGTTAAAGGGGCAGGATTTGCTTGCAGGCCACCAGATTTGGTCAATTGTTGGACGCAGAAGCAGGGCCCTAGAGCGAGCATATTCTCTCAGCAGCTCCAGGGGGTAGCCGAGTTAGTCTGTTACAGAAAAAACAACAAATGGTCTGGTAGCACTTTCTAGACTAACAAAACGGCATCATGAGCTTCCCTGGGCACAGCCGGCTTCTTCAGATGAAGGGAGTTCCGAGTTTAGGATGTGCACACCCAAAATAAATAGGAGAGGGGGAAAAAGGGAAGGGGTAAACTTATAACTCTGGTCATCTGAAGAAGCGGGCTGTGCCCAGGAAAGCTCACGATACCATCTACATGTTTTGTTAGTCTAGAAAGTGCTATCAGACCATTTGTTGGTTTTTTTCATATTCTCTCACTCATCCTGGAGAGCTCTTCTCAAAGAGCCAACCGCATGAGAAAGACCACACAGCTTGGCCTTCCCAGTGGAAAGGGGAACTAGTTGCCATAGGAAGGGGCATGAAAGGGAGAGGGTTTTTTTCAAGCTTGCGGAATAAGTCAATGTCATGAAAAGAAAAAGACAAAAACAAACAGGATTTTCCACTGCTCTGTTTGTCTGATAAGTCTCAATCCTGAGTTATGAACTGAAACAGGCTCTCCATGAGGTGAGACATGTGAAACTCAGGGTTTACTTCTGTAAAATGGGAACACCAACTCAATCTTAATTATAGGGTTGTCAGTGTCCTCACACTCCTGAAATATGGGCTATGTAGGTCGGCAGGGATGGACTAAGTAATTTACACCTATGAATTTGAGATACACCAACACATGAGAGAGAAAAGAGGACCTCATCCCTGGCAATCACCTCCCTGGCAATCTCCTTAGGTTGTGTTCTCAGTTGATTGTACATTTTACTTTCTCACTCTATAGGACAATGAATGCTATGTTTAATTAGTAAAATATTTAGCCTTATCTAATATATAAAGGAGAATGTTTGTATGTTTGTGCGCTAATAACGTGGGCACTATAAGAGCTACTGCAACCAAACTTTGCATGGGGTAACCTTTTCTCCAGGAGAAGGTTTTAAGGTACTTTTAGCAGTGCTGGAAGAAGTGGCTTCTTGAGGAAATGGCTTCCCGAAGTCACTCACGAAGGCTGGCGGTGGAGGCACGAGGGGAGGGGAGGCGCTCCAAGCGGCAGCTGCCCCACTCGCCTCTACCAGACTGTTCCACTGTGCAGGCGCGTCCGGGGTGGTGGAGCCCCCTCTTCCCTCACGCCCATGATGTCACTCAGTCCAGGCCCCTCCCCTCCGGCATTGGCCGAGGGTTGCCAAACAGTGGGCAGGAGCTTGCGGCTGCCGCTAGGGAGCGGCTGCAGGTACAGCAGGGCGAACCCAGTGGGGAGGCGGCAGCGCTGGGAGCAGCCCAGGGTCCGGCGCAGCTTCCTGGTCGCGTGGCGGGGAGCCCAGCACCTGCTTGCCGAGGCCCATGGGAGAGGGGAGCCCCCAGCGCGGCACCATGGTGCAGCAGGTAGCGGGGCGAAAGTTTCGGGGCGGGTGGTGGGGTCATTGCCCCCACGGCATCTGCAGCCCCGGGCGCAAGCTGGGCCCCCCCGCCCACCCTAGGTCCTGTGCTCGCCCCCTCCCGCCCCTCACCTGGAGCACCCCCGGCAGGACCCTACTGCCCGCCCCGAGCAACGCCGGATAACTCCAGCTAGTTTTTAATAGATAAGCTAGATGGAGGTCAATGCATTGTGGAAAAGCTAGGTATGGGCATATGTGAGTAGGAGAAAAGATGCTTTATCCGGGGCATTTATGGAGATAGGGGTTAAGTGTTATTGTTTCCTGATTGTATGGCATCCTTTCTTCATGCAGAGAGTGAGGCTTTGATTCATCAAAGCATTTTCAACCCAATCTTCTGCCCATCAAAGTCAATAGAAAGAATTCCATAGATTTCAGTGAGCACTGGATCAGGAATAAAAACATATTCAATAAATAAGCATGTGAATATTCTCCTTGAAATCAATAGGACCACTCACGTGGATTAAATTAAGCCTGTGCTCTCGTACATGCCGAACAGTTCACAGGATCAGATCCTAACTCTGCAAACAAAAGCTGTACTTTGGTGATTGCCCCAATCTGGTAGCTAACACTGAATTCTAAAGCATACCTAATGTAGGCTTATAAAATGGAAAAATTAATTAAATAACATTTTTATCAAGTGCATAGAAGAGTGGTGGGAGGTTCAAACCCCCTCTCTCCCAAAGATATGGTCTGCCCAAAAGACCTGATAATGTAGCTTTAGATGTAAGACAGTGAAGGAAATAAACTATAGTTGGGAAGATGAAGGGTAGGGCAATAATAATATCTTGTGGTTATTCAATAAAGACGTGCATATTGTGATGGTTTCATCTGTTTTTTTAAAATGTACATTAATTAATTTACTTTAGTTTTATAGCACAAACAGCAAGGGGCAATATCCTTGATCCTGCAGGCACTTCTACATCTGAGTTACTTTACAGCTGCAACTAGTTTTAGTAATGTCAATGAGATTGCTCATGTGTGTAAATGTACCCATCTGCTTAAGTTTCTAGTGGACTGGGATGAAGCTAACTACCCACCCACACAGCCCTGTAAGTTTCTGGAAAAAAATTGAGGGACTCTTTCACAATTCACTCTTTCAGCTAGTGGCATCCTACATACAATTTTGAATGAAAGTAGGGTAACATTTTCCACTACAATTTTTAAATTGACTGTGTCCCTTTAAAGAAGAGACCTTTGGCTTGCCCAAATGCCATCAGAATTATACACAAAAAATAATATAATGTATGAGGACATAAAATCCACAGCCTTGTTGATATATCTCTGCTTTGGTTTTTTTTTTTCTCATTTTGCATTTGAATTTTTTTATAGTGTAATTTTCTTCTTGTGCTACGGCAAGAGGTCTAATGAGGAGAGATAGTTCTCTTTAGGTGCGGAAAGAGAAGAGGTGGTTCCTGGAATCTTCCCCATTGGAATAATACATCAGAAGGGACTGAAAAGCATGACTCACCATTTCAAATGTAATCTAGGTTTATCAGTAAAGAAACACACAAAAGGAGATGACAAAGGATCAGTGTCTTGGCAGTTCTATAGTGGCAGTCATAGAGCCTGACACGGTGTTTACACTTATCTGACTCCACTGACTTTTAATTTACAAGCGTAAGATCCATTGAATCAAGAGGCTGAGAAAACGTATTTGTCCTCCTGTTTCCTATTGTATGTTTTCCATGGTTTTGTCTAGCCTACTTTTAAATGTTCCAAATAATGTGGCTTCCCTTGAGAGACTATACTGATGCTTGCATTAGTTTCTTTGGAACTAATGCAATCCCCAGTGCACATGCCTAATAGATGGCTATGTTCTAGGGAGAAATATGGGAGGACAGAAGAGGAATTAATCAACTGCTATCCCTACACCTCTCCCTGGGCTGCTCCTACAGCCTTAAAGGTCTAGTAAAATCTTTATCTGAAGTCCACTCTCCTGGCTGTATGGGAGGAGTAATCAGAATCTCTGAATAGTGTCAGTTCCATTGGTCTTTCTGCAGCTACAAATGTGCTCCAAGTGCTATGGGACAGGAAGTCCCTGAAAAGCTCACATGGTTCCCTGAGTTCCCAGAATCCTGCCCCATTGTCAGAGAAATGCTCCAATACTGCAGAGTGGAATGTGGTAAAAAAATCTATATTGAATTCCTCACCAGCTCTTAGCACCAGACAAGTGAAGCAGCCATCTGGTCCAGCAACTGTCTCAATGGACTCACAGAATTGTTGCCTCTGACTCAGTGCTTGGCCACTGTTGTGCACTGTTCATTGCCTCATTTCACCCAGAGGTAGCTGCATTTTATGGTGGGCAAAGTGCACCCTAAATATAGTGGGACATGCCCTCAACTGGTGTAAGATGAGACAACTCCACTGAGGTCAAGAGCAGTGCATTAAATAATGAAAGGCCCTGAGTAAGTGTAAAGTTTATTCTTACCTTCCATGTGTAAAAGAGCAATCTGAGATTTTGTTTTCATACCTACTTTTTGGCATGAGTGAAAGGGGGATTGTTACCTCACCTTGACACTGTTTTATTTGTCTTAGTTTTACAGATGCCTCATAGCACAATCTGGAGATGAACATATGTCATCATGATACACATTGGCAATTCTCGAAAACAGCCATGTGTCTCTTTGTAATGCAGGATGTTTATTTATTTCGTTACAGTCTGTT